TAAGACAATGAAGCATTTGGGGATTGAATTTATTATTAATATTAGTTTAACTTGCTGTTTCCTTCTACTATAATCTGTTTCAAGTGGGAAATAAAATGGCAGCTATCTCCTAAGAATGTTTAGAAGTTATCTGAGGATTAAAATTTAACTAGCTTTTCTTCTCAGATACTTTTGTATTTAATGGTTGTATAAGTTTAGGGATCTGTTACATATTTTGGGGGGAACAGTTTACATGATTTTGTAGCCTAACGTTTCAAAGTTCCAACTTTGAGTAAATATCAAAATGAGGATACTTAAAAAACACTGAGATAAGCGGTTTTAAACTTTTTCGAGTCTCGAGCCTTTTTGGTGGGGGTATAATCCCTTTGAGAGTCTGAAGGGTGATGGGACCTCTTCCCAGGAAAATTTATACATGATTTCAGGGAATTCCTCTACTTTCAGGGAATTCCTGGAGCCCTAGAAATCCATCTGGAGACATTCGAGTCAGTTTAAAACTTCACCTCAAGTTGCCTTTTTTTCCTTGTTGATGTGAGAAACATCTTGTCAGATAAATTTGTGGGCATACACATTTCACAAGTCTGTTTGGGTAGTTTTAAAAAATCTAGAGGTTTTTTTTTAAAAAAAAGTAATATCCTTAGTCTCAAATTCATTCTTTGGATTTTTGTTTTTGTAGCTAAGTGAATAGTTAAAAACCTGGCTACTTAAAATACCAGATGAGTGACTACTTTTCCACTCTTTCTTGGGAAAGGTTATCCTTTAGGATCTCTATCTACTTTGTGTAATAAAATCCTGATGAATTTAAACACTCATGGAAGGGAGTATTCTAACTGAATTTTCAGTTAACTCAGTATTGACCAGATGAGTTACACTGAAAATCTTTTCAGAGTACTTATAAATACAGTGTTTTAGGATTTTTGTAGGACATAGGTCATCATTTTGTTTATCATTATAAACAGTAAAGTTATGAATCTGAAATCCTGGACGTAGTTTAGAAGTTAAATCTTCAGCCATAAACTAAAGAATAAAAGCAAACAACAACTTAAATTTTCAGTAACCTTTCTTTACTGTGAACTAAATGTTCTGGAAATCTAATCGTCTGTGTCAGTTTGTATACTATATGTAAGAATATATGCATTTCTTTTGTAGCCACGTCATGAATATTTTAATGTCCCTGTGTACTAAATGACTACTCGTCGAGTATGCAGAATTTCACAGAGGAAATAGAGAGCTGATATACATGTGAAAGAAAATGTCCTCAGCTTGGTGACTGATTATCTCGTATAATAGAACATTTCAGAACCAGTACCTTTACGATTGTATTTTTTTCCTGTTCCTAACTCTTTTCTGTTTAAGTTTTCATTCTATACATGTGATCTTAATATAGCTTATTCCTGTCCACAACTGATTTAATTTCATCTTGACAGCATATGGCTTGTGAATGTTTTGAGTGATATTTCATCTTAATCACATCCATGTTATCATTAACGAACCATCTATGATTAATCTTGTAAGAGAAAAACCTGGCAATCATTAAAATGTTTACTAAAGAAAATATATATAGCTAAAGTGCTAGGTGAAAATAAGCAGTGCCATAACGTATATTGTGTGGTTTGGTCTTCAAATATTAGGGAAAAAAAAAAAAAGAAATTGTATTTAGTGTGATTGATTATCTTACAGTCTATACGAACTAATGTGTTCTAATGTATCACATAAAAGTGTATGTGGGAATAAATCAAGAAAGTAAAATTTATACTGTTATATAATATTTAAGGTTAAAATATTCAGTTTTTAAGAAACTTTGTAGTGCCACATTTATTGAATCACATTTGTGCTATATAGTAATATTGAACAATCCCTTTAAAAACTATCTAAAAGCTATGTCGGAAAAGTCTCTTTTGCAATATCTGTTGCTCAATAGTAACCCTTTCAAAGTATTAATACTGAGTTTATTTATATAGTTCAAAAATTCTAACATTCGGTTTCAATATCTTAATACTTACATTTTACTAGTTATGGTTTTCTAATATATTAAGTCTTCATTTAAATACTTAGTGCTTTGTTAACTATGGATTTATATTTCTGAATATAAAAACCTTTAATATTGATCACTATTGTATGTGCTTTTAATAAAACATGGAGCATATTTTATTATAAAAGGAAACGTACCAAATAAGTAATTGTTTATATTTAATAAGACAGTTTAAAGCCTGAGTTAAGTAAGCTGTCATTGAACAGGAACTTCAGAAGATGCTTGAACTGGTTTACCACTGAAAGAAGACCTATGCCAATGTGTTTTTTTTTTTTAAATTTTATTTTATTTTGTCAATATACAATGTGGTTGATTATTGTGGCCCATTACCGAAGCCTCCCTCCCGCCTCCCTCTCACCAATGTGTTTTGGTGAAACTTAGTATTAGGTGTGTATACAAATCAGTTATTTCCATTCTTACCATTCTTGCTGTAATGCACTGCATTTGAGGCACCTAGATATGCTATCAAATGAGAAATGTAGCATTATTCATTTAAAGCACTGGGATACATTGGTCTTTCATTTCCATTATTTTTCTCCATCCCTCCCCCTGCCCTGCAATACGTTATTCATCTGGTTTTAATGCTACATAAATATGCATTGTCTCATGCCTGTTTGCTTTGAATGCTGTGTGCTGAGCTGTAACAAAATGTTGCCTCTTTTGTTATCTGTATACAGCTGCTTGCTTTAAACTAGATTCTGAAATAGCTTTCCGTGCATGACTAAAATAAAAGTATTGCATGTACTTTGTCTCATGTGAATGACTTTTTTCTTCTCCATCCCTTTTGATAAAATAACATATTTTACATTTTCATTTTTCCAGGTAGATTTTTTCTTAATTGTGGTTAAAAAAACACATAACATAGCACCATCTTAACCATTTTTAAGTGTGCAGATCAGTATTGTTAAGTACAGTCACGTTGTTGTGCAACAGATCTCCAGAACTTTTTCATCTTGCACAACTGAAACTCTATACCCATTAATCACCAATTCCCCATTTACCCCTCCCCCCAGCCCCTGGTAACCACCCCTCTACTTTCTGTTTCTATGAATTTGACTACTTTAGTTAGTAGTTTTTCTGGGAAGTTTTGAGCTACAATTTCAGTGTGAACATGTAAAAATTACATTTTATATTATAAACACAGTTTGTAAAAAACTACTTGTACATGTCTCAAAGGGATAAAATGTGTAAATGATTCTTTGTAACTAGGCCTTTTAGAAAGGATATATATTTTAATAATGCATATTCAGTAAGCAACATGATTCTCTTCAGGAAATGCTATATAAGATTGCAGGCAGTGAGCACATACAGGAAATCTGACCAGATCCAGGGAGTAGTTAAGGGACATTTTTCCATGCCTGGATAAGCTGAGAATGTAAACTGTATAGAATTCAATGTAGGCATCCTTTATAATACATTAAAGGTTGTATGAAGTTTTAAAAAATTATTTAACGTTAAATGGAAATGACAAAATTTGTTTTAATATTTATGTGATTCAGATATTCTCTCAGTATATTTAATGTTTAGGGTTAAACATTATAAATGAAAGATATTGGCTTATCACTCTTGGGAGTGTTGCATCATTTCTATTAGACTTTCTTTAAAAACTTTATCATGAAAAGTTCGAGACACAAATATAGAGGATAAAGAACCCTCATGTACATCACTGAGCTTCAACAACCATTGACTTAATCATATTGTTTCCTCACCCCCCCGCCTCCAATTTTGCCTCAGTATTTTAGAGCAAGCCCCAGACAGCCTGTCATTTCATCTTTAATAGTTCACTATATATCCCTAACAGATAATTAATTTCTAACAGTAATTAATTTTTTTTTTTTTGGTCTTTTTTGTGACCGGTAAGGGGATCACAACGCTTGGTGCGGTGTCACCCACACCACACTCAGCCAGTGAGCGCAACGGCCATTCCTATATAGGATCCGAACCCGCAGCGGGAGCTTCGCTGCACTCCCAGCGCCGCACTCTCCTGAGTGCGCCACGGGGTCTGCCCTAACAGTAATTAATTTCTAATATCTTGTGCCTGGCTGTTTTTCCTGATTGTCTGAAAAAATGCCTTTTTACGTTTGGTTTGTTAGAAATCAGATTCCAAACAAGGTTCACATTGGATCTGGTTGATGTAATTAAGTCTCTTTTCTCTTTAAGAAGTCTTGTGAAAAATAAATTTTCCCCTTGCCATTTTTTTCAAAAAACCAGGCTATTTATGCTGTAGAATTTCCTACATTCTCTATTTGGTTGATTGTATTCTTGTTATGTGCTTAACTTGTCCTTTTATCCACCATCTGTATTTAGATGAGTAACCTGATTAAATTGAGGTTCAATTTTTGAGGGGCAAGAATACTTAGTAGATTAGACTGCCTTTTTTTTTTTTTTTTTTTTTTTTTTAAAAGATGACCGGTAAGGGGATCTTAACCCTTGACTTGGTGTTGTCAGCACCACGCTCAGCCAGTGAGCAAACAGGCCATCCCTATATGGGATCCGAACCCGTGGCCTTGGTGTTATCAGCACCGCACTCTACCGAGTGAGCCACGGGCTGGCCCAGACTGCCTTTTTAAAAAAATACCTTTATTCACTAAAACTGAATTTTACTCATTTTTCATTATTACACAAACATACTAAAAGGTGATATGAACTTTATATAGAGAGTTGATTTATAGTATTTCAATTTAGTACTAAATGCTAAGTACCTTCATTTAGATTTCAGTTGTGTAATCGTATTGGCTAACATTTAATGAGCAATTTCTATAAATCAGGCACTGAGCCTTAACTCACTTAATCTCAACATATGAAGGTAAGTACCATTGTTCTTGTTTTCCAAATAGGAAACGTCCATAGCATTTAAGTAATTTCCTTAAGATTATACCATGAAGTGCTTTATATACAATTACATCTAACGTTCTAAGGATTTATGGTTTAATGTAATTTTTCTTCTTATTTTGTGCTGTACCACGATTAGGATGCAAAAGTAAGTTTATTATTGGATACCAAAAATTTACATTGTTTTTCTCCATTAAAATTAGTGTTGCCTTTTAATTACAAATTCATTGCTAGTAATACCTGTAAGTTGACCTGTTTGGTCCTTTTTTATTTTGTGATGTGCAAACTTAGCTACTTTGGAAAATCTGGAAATAATTTTTTTCTAGATATGCCTGCTTTGTTTTGTCTTCCTTTGATATTTAAAAATGAGTATTGGTTGTTACTTAGGACAAAAATGCCTATTGTCCCAGAGCATTCTTTCTGTATGTGGCCTCCACTGATGCCATTGGTTGCCCTGGGGGAAGTTGGCTGTTTATGAAGCCTTGCTGCTACGGACACAGTTAAGTAAAACCTCGAGGAGGAAGACATTTCCGTATATATGTGACAAAAAAGAACATGGAAAACAAAATTAGGTGAAGAATTGTGGGAACTCAGGGGGAGCGGGGTGGGGTGGTTCCTACTTTTTATTTGGAGGAGGTTTTCAATTTTAACACTAAGGTAACTTTCATGCATATAATTGAGTATGTATGATTTCATAAATTGCCAGTGTGTTTACATTGAACTTGACTGCTTTTGGTTTTATAGTAATGGTGTTAGCACCATTGGTAGTTAATTAGTAGGTATTTAATGAAATACCTGAAAATATCTTCTGTGATCTCCAATGTTTTGGACCCCAAGCCCTCAATAACCACTGGCTGTCACTAGTAGAATGTTCCTATGACACTGAATTGCTTTCTTTATTCTTAAAACAAGCATGTCCTTCCATATCAATTTTTCATATTCTCCGGACTCCCTGGATCTGCTTACCAGAGTCACATTTTCCCTCCACAGGAAGCTGAAACCCCACGTAGTGTTCTTGAAGAAATTGGACTGACATAACTCTCCTCCCTTGTTGATGACTTCTTGTGGCATTTCACACACTGTAGATGGTCACTGCCTTCATGTCCATGTTAGCTAATGGTGTAAGAAGATGTCTTGTCAGTATTACTGTTTTGCTAAGCTGCTTAACACAGGCCTACACAATTTTTTTTAAAAAGGGAACTTTGGGTTAATCAAATGATAAATTAAGGGACTTAGATATGAATTAGAATGATGCAGAAAGATACTTTTTCTGGAGATTTTAAAGTTTATAGGTCAGTTTCTTTTAATCTGATTATGTGCATATATGAAAATGACATCTATATAGATGTAAAATCAAATAATCAGGCAATATACATTTATTAATTACTGTATTTGACAAAGGAGACTTAAATTATAATGTGAAACCTGGTTTTATGAAACCAAGCACTAGTGCAGCATTTCAATGTATATAAGAATAAAGGGAATTGACATGTCACATATCGAGTGAAAATTTAACTCTGTTAAAACTTAACAAATTTTTACCAAAGATCTGTACTGGAAACTACATATCTTAAAGCAAAGGGAATAAATAACTAAATTGGAATAATGCTGTTTTACACTAAAATTTATTTCTTAGGCATTCGAACCTGGGATGACAAACATTGTTTTATAATGGTGAGCACATAATTTTTAAGGCCAAGGCACATTTGATTCCTGAGATGAATTTTTTGTGGTCATAATCATTTAGTTGGTTTCCTTTTGATGCCCCCAAATAAAGTGGGTATGTTATTTTACCAGGAATTCTTCATAATAGTATCTTACAGAAAATGTGTTACTCTCTTCACAGAGTGTGGAGTGTAAAGTCACTGTTAAAGCACTAACATTCCTTATGGGTGCTTGTTAAAGCCAAATTTATTTTGCTTCCCTCTTCTTAGAAGTGCTGCAAACTTTACAACAGCTTCCTTTCCTTCCATGGCACTGCCTAGTTATCAGAAATCTTATATAAATTTTAAAAAGACACCTTTCATATAAAAAAGTGAGTTAAGTGAGAGAAAATGGCATTAGTTGGCCCTATATTTTTTAAAGCTATAGAATTGTTCAGCATCACTTTTATACATACTTATACGTATCTAAATATGTCTTCATGGTTTACATTTTCACTTGTATATGCTGGGCTGGATTAAGCTTTGTAATTGTGACCAATGTTGAGGCTACGTGAGCACTGTCTTATCACATCGCCAATTCGTTATAATAAACGTTCAACGTACAAACACTGTAGTGTGTTTTTATCTCTTTCCAAAAGTTTGTCAAACTATGGAGAGCTGATGAAAGAAGAATTTTTCATTTTTTTTTTTTTCAGTAAAATGTTGACAATTCCACTCCATTTGAATGTGGTTTTGTTATAAGCACACACAAGATAAATGGTGGAAGACTTAAGGAGGCCTTCATGTACTTCAAGTTCATTAAAAATAACATGTATTCCACGCTACCAAGAGCTTATCTACACATTTATTTTCAATCAATAAATGCCGCTTTTAAAACCTTGATGCAATTGACTTTACTCTTTCTGAATGAATATCTAATTGCCAGGTAATCAAGAGTATTCAAATCAACTGGATTCCTCTCATTCCCTCCTCCCTGTCCCCCTAACTGGATGAACAGAAAAAAAAATTTTTTTTTAAAAGACATAGGTTTAAAGAGCCTCAGACATGCAGCTATTCACTGAAAACAGCCCTGTGGGCTTCTGCTAGCAATTTAGTTGTAATTTTTGGATCATAAATAGTAATTCAGGTTATATGTACAAAAATACATTAATAAATTCAGTAAGTTCAAGATGGACATTTATCAGGATAATGAACCAGTGGTTTAAAAACCTCCTTCCCTCCCTACCACACTGCCTATTAACATTTGAGGGTAAAAGTCACTGAAATACCAGTTGTCATGAGCTATTCATGTAATTATAAAATAGGCCCTCTGTTAGATGGTTTTGCCCAACTATAGGCTAAGTAGGCTAATGTAAGAACATTACATTATTAGTATGTAGAACATACTAATGTTCTGAGTATGTTTAAGGTAGGCTAGGTTAGGCTAGGCTAAGCTCTGATGTTAGGTAGGTTAGGTGTATTAAATGCGTTTTTGACTTAACGACATTTTCAACTTACAATGGGTTTATCAGGATGTAACCCCATCATAAGTCAAGGAGCATCTGTTTTCAGCTTTGCATACCACATTTAATTGTGTATGTCTGGGCTATATTTAGAAAAGTACTGAAAAATACTGATTTTAGTGATAATTATTCAGCATTAGTGAACCTGGTAGATAGTTCTGGAAGTTTTCAGTAATTTTTAGGATAAAGCACACATTTAGAGTGGAATAAGTTGGATTTTGGTAGAGGATTCTTAAGGTAAATGTACTTCACAGGGCCTGGTTTTCCCCAAAGCCTTGCAGTTTCAAATATTGACCTTGCGTAGGACTGGAAATTTTCCTCAGGCTATAAAGTCTTTGGTGTAAGATCTCTAACACAGCAAGGTTGCTGGCTCAAAGACAGACTAGTTACTGACTGATGTGTAAAGATAGATACTGGAAAATTGCTGGAGGGAGAAGGAATGTTTGCTAAGATCAAGCTTTTGTTGGTGGATCACTTAATTGTCTAAGGGAATGTCATCTGACTTGTTTCACGGAAAGTTACCAGTCTATATTGTTAAACTATAACCCCACCTATGTTCTCTTCCTGTAACTTCCTGGTCTGGAAAATAAATGCAGGAAGAAAACCCCAAGTTGGGGTTAATTTCCCAAGGAAGGGATGCTTCTTGCTGGAGGGTTCCAGGGAAGTTAACCACTTCAGGGCTTCTCACTGCTCAGTAGAGATGGGCTTTGAGTAATCCTTTGCAGCTCTGTCACCCAGGGGAAGTGGGGTGACAAATCCGTGAGGGGTAAAGCAACAGATTTTTTAAAGTAAAATTATTCTGAACCATATACTTCATTTCTTTTATTGACTGCAGATTAAAGAATTCCTATCCTTAACAGATATCACACAGAAGTCTCAATATTTAAGAAATTTCTTCTTCCTATTTCATTTTTGTTAACTTTTCAGTATTTTGTACAGCTTTAAGTCCTTATTCCCAAATCTCAAATTGCCAAATGCCACATACTCTGAAATTCAAGATCCCAAGTATGTCAATGGAAAGGAAGTTATGAAAAAATGTATAAGCAAGTGTGAGAACATCTTTTCTTATTTATGATCTAAAATCTAGGGATAGTACTTTGCATGATGCTTTTTCCTACATTAAGTTCTCTTTGACCACTCTTCTACGATTTTTATATGAGAATTGCTTTAATACCAGGCAATTCAGTAGCAATGACCCTAACTTTCCTGGAAATGACAAAAATAAGCTTTACTCCCTGTATAAAGAACTTTTGAACACACTATTAAAATATTAAAAATAACAGTAGAGCTTGAGATATGATAATGTTTCTTGTGAAAAAAACATTCAACTGCAGCCAAATATGATCTTTGTGTAAAAAATGTGTATACACCCATAAGAAGAAAAGAAAGGACTAAAGCATGCTCCAGTGTTAATTGGTTCTCTCTCAGGGTTAGTATTACAAGTAATTTTCACGTTATTTATACATTTCATGTTTTCTAGGATTTCTATACCAGACACACTTTTGTGATTATCAGAGAATAAGAGTAATTTTAGTAGGATTCCAGGGTACACAGGATTCAAACAGACTTGTGAACCCATTTGAGCTCATAGCCCTCTGAGTACACAGCAGCCGTAATAAATAAGATATACAATCATTTAAGAACAAAACAGGTTTATTTGGATTTGGGACTTTGAATATTTTTATCTCTACTACCTGACCTTCTCCTGCCACGACTCCTGGACCTAGAAGAACTCTGGCTCTGGCTCCGGAGGCTCCTGAGGCTCCGGCTCTGGCTCTGGCTCTGGCTTCGGCTCCGGCTGCTCCGGCCCCAGCTGTGGTCCCTTTTTCTTTCTCTACTTCGTGAACTGTGCCTCTCACGATTCTTTGATGTATGTTTGTGAGATCTCTTCCCCCTGTCAGTACTTCTTCTTTTCCTCTCAATTTCCCCATTTCTTATGTAGGAGTAATCTGGACTAAGGTTTCTTTTTCTCCTGGGCCTGCCATAGTACTCATCATGGTGGCCCATCCGTTCTCTCCTCTCCAAGTTTTTACCAAAGGAGAAACCAGTCTGATCAGGAGACAGGTAGGTTTTTCTATTAGCTTCCCAAAATTCATTGTTGGGATTTCTGAACACATGAAGAAAGTTGCAGTGTTTTCCTCTTGGACACTGTTGTATTTCAAATAAACCTGCAATGGCAAGTGATGAGACAGCATTTATTAACTGTGTATTCTGAAGACAGCACTTTGTCTTTTCAGAAAGTACATTTCTGATGTTTGGATATGTTAGAACTATTTCCTACTGTGTATTATTTAAAAAGGGCTTACATAAATTGAGGTCATAGTTTGGTTTCCAGAATTTCAAAAATACGCAAATGCTCTAACAAATGGCACTCTGAAAGGTCAACAGTTTTAATTACCCAGAATATCCCATGCCTCTATTAGATTATGGTTTGGAGTGCAACTGAACAAGTGGTGACCACATTACTATTCTAGGGTTTCACCATCCCACTGATGGACAATTCAGATCCCTAATAAACACCAGCCCTTGGGGTCCCTGTGGTAGCATGCTTTGAGGGCATGGTGGTACCAAGATAGAACCATTGGTCAAAAGAGAAGGGCTATTATAGGGGGAGGATCCTGTGTTTTCTTTACACTTTAAGATAACACTGGCCTAATGCCTTAAATTTACCAAGTGCTTTTAATATGCAAGATTCTTGTCAAAAGTGAAATCTATTTGAACATGAACAACTTTGAGATTGTTTTGGTGTTTTCAAACTTTTTTTGGTGACTGGCTGACTTTTCTTTTTAAAGCAGTAAATTCCCCAAATATGTAAAATAGTTAAAAGTGAAATACCACCATACCACATACTGTACACAAAAATTAACTCAAACTGGATCAGAGACCTAAATATAAGAGATGAAACTATACAAGTAAATTTTCATGACATTGGGCTAAGCAAGAGTGTCCTAGATATGACACCGAAGTACAAGCCAAAAAAAAAGGATAAATTGGACTTCAACAAAATTTAAAACTTTTGTGTTTCAAAGGACACAAAGTGAAAAGAGAACCCATAAAATGGGAGAAAATATTTGCAGATCATTTTTGTGATTAGGTATTTGTCTGTACAATATATCAAGAACCCTTACAAATTAATAATAAAAAGACAATCTAATTAAAAAGTGGGCAAAGCACAACCAGGCACACCACCAGCACCAAGGAGCATGCCAAAAACATCACTTCCATATGGGTGGCCCACCATAGCCACCACAGTAACCACGGCTGTGGCTAGATGTCACAACCACCACGCAGATGGTCTGTCAGCCACTGGAGTGCATTGATTGACAAAAGGAGAGTTGCCAGCAGAGACCAAAGAAAAGAAGAGGATGTCTCTCCACAAAGTCCATTCCAGAGTGACAGAAGCATCTGCTCTATGATAATATTGGGGGACCTGAACACACCTTTCAGCATTGGAAAGATCATCTAGGCAACAAATAACAAAGTAACCATTACTCTTTCAGAGGGACAGAAGAAATCTAGGGTTATCAGTGGTGGGAGGTCAGAGGGAGAGAGGGATGTGGAGAGATTGGACAAGGGGCATAAAGAATAAGTACAATTTGTAACAATATACATACTAGTAATGTTGATTTGATCAACATATGTCAACAATGAATCCCCAAAATATGTATAATAATTATGATTCAATAAATAAATAAATAAATAAATGAGCTTAGGCTCTGAATAGACCTCTCTCCAAAGAAGATATACAAATGGACAATAATTAAGACAAGGAAAGATGGTCAGCATCATTAGTCACTAAGGAAAATAACAATGCTGTTATTTATTTTTTAAAAAGAAATAAATAGTCTTAGTCTCCTTGGGGGGAGTCAAAGTCACACTCAGAAACACCTCACTGAAATAACACTGGATTCCCAGGAACTGACAAAAGTAATTGCCTTTACGGAGAAAACAATTCCATCTCTTTTATCCCCCAAGCCTTTAAACTTAAGGTATAATGGTTCTTCTGGTTTTCCTAAGCAAGGAATTCTAAAATCTATTTTTTTCCCTTCATAAGTGGTTTTAAAATGACAGCACCCACTAAGATAAGGTTGCCAAACATTCAGATTATAAACTATCTATTTTCTTTTTTTTAAAAAAGATGACTGGTAAGGGGATCTTAACCCTTGACTTGGTGTTGTCAGCACCACACTCTCCCAAGTGAGCTAACGGACCATCCCTATATAGGGATGCGAACCTGTGGCCCTGGTGTTATCAGCACCACATTCTCCCAAGTGAGCCATGGACCGGCCCTAAATTATCCATTTTCTAATAAGAGGTTTTAAGCAAGTGAGCGCAGAGCAAAGAAAGACAAGTAAAGGGTAAGATAAGTGCTCCCCTGGGGCACTTAGAGCTTCATCTCTTTTTACCTGGGGAACGTCCACAATAGTTTGGCTAAAACCATAGACAGAAATCGGAAAGTAAGGAGGCCTTCAAAACTGCTGGCTGCTCTCTACACAGACTGAATCACTTCCTGATTTGGCTGCCACTGTCTGATGAGTCAGTCTGAAAGCATGCTTGACCAATCTTATGCCTACAATCAGGCTCTAATGCACAAAAGCATGCATTTCCAGTAAGGCGGGAAATGCTACAGCTAATATTTTAGGTGGCAATGATGACAGAAGCTTCATTAAGGATAATGATAGGAAAAACACACAAACATAGCTCAAGTGAGGTGAGCCAATGAATAGAAAACATCTCAAACTGCCACAAGGAAATTGTGGCTTCCTATAGAGGCAACTTTCTCAAGCTTCCTGAATTGTCAGACAGAGCCCAGGACTGAGAATCAGAAGACTGGAATTCTAGCCCCAATTCTGTCACTGATACGTTGTAACCTTAGTCACCTCATCCATATAGTGACCCACAAGGTCTGTTACAGATCTAAACTGTGGTGCCCTTTATACATAAAGATCTCTGCTCATCTACTGAGGCAAGAGCTATGCTTTACCCCATTAAAAGACTGTTTTTTCCCTATGAATATCTCTTTATATAACAGTGGAACAATTGGGGAAAAAATCATCACATTGTCTTTTACCACAAATGGCCATTTTCCACCGGGTCACTGGACAGAATTCACACTGAAGCTGTCGTCCTGCATACCATCGCCCGTTAAACAGAGAGAGGGCTGCTTGGCATTCTTCTTCCCTTCAAACCACAAATCAAAGGATGTGTTTTACAGTAACTTTTTAATATGTAAATTAACCCTATTATTACTTAACCCTTTAATTAATTTATTGTAGGACCACCAAGTTCACTGTTTTTATGCCCCCTAGGGAGTCCTCATTAGAGCAGTCAAGCTCCCAAAGCTCACAATTTATTCAGGACCCCTTTTTACTAACCCTCTGAGAGGTTTTGATGCATGGAATTTGGCCTGAGTCAAAGCTTCTTAATCCAAAAGATTGGACCATTAAAAATGCAGAAGTGTTTTCCACTGTTAGAGCCTATTCTTTCTCAGCTAAGATTGCTGTTCTTCTTATTACAATGGTTAATTTAACCCATTAGCCATGGTGTGGCCTAGGCAAACAGCAAGGCAAGCAGAAATGACACACTAGCTGCTCTCTCAGCTGGTCAAATGCACACTAAGAGTATATGGGGCTTCCATCTCGGGCTCTTTCGATGTATACTTTTATATTCTTTATTCTAGTTATCCCTTTTCAATCTGTATTTTCAGTATTAAAATTATATAAGTAATAATATAACTATATTGTAAAAGATTCAAAACTATGTAAGTATACAAAGAATGAAATACAAGTGCACTATTTTCAAATCCCTTCTGCATTTCTAAGTCAGCTCTTAATATTTACATTTTTAAAAATACCATGCATATGAAAGCTATATAACCACTGGAAAAATCCCAAATGTCAGCAGAAACAGAACACCATACTATGACAAACATGAAGACGTTTATGTTCAAAATACTTACGACTGGTACTGAACATACACGTTGCCCCTCAAATGAGGTTCCAAGTTGCAGCTGACCTAAGGAGCAATGAAAAATGCTCTCATTAAAAACTACAGAAAAGAAACCATCCAGTCATCAAATGCACCTTATCCAGGCTAACTCCCAAAAGCAGTGACCAATCAAAGATTCCAAAACAGAGATACTAGCCTACTCTTGTGTCTATTTAAGGCATATTTCAGCACATAGCAGCATTGCAGGCCACAATTATTTGATTCCTGTCGAGCCAGGTCTGCTTCTTTCTACAAATATGAAACATTTCATACGTGCATAAAAATAAAGAATATAAATCAGCCCATCCATACACTACCCAGATTTTATACTAACTTTTCCATTTTTGACTGAGAACATTTAAATAACTAAAACATTAAAGACCCAGTTGAAGCCCTTCCATCCTATTCTCCCTCCATCACATAGGTGAGCACTATCTGGAGGCTGGGTGTAGCCTTCACATTCCAAACGCACACATACTTACGCAGACACATAAACAGACACAAATACATCAGTCCCTCTCCTCTGCAGTTTTGCTTTCTGCAGTTTCAGTTTCCCAGTCAAACATGGTCAGATAACTACATGGAAAATTCCAGAAATAAACAATTCATAAGTTTTCAATTGAAAGCTGTTCTGAGTAGCATGATGAAATCTTGCACCATCCTGCTCTGTCCTGCCCAGAACATGAATTATCCCTTTGTCCGCTCTGTATATGCTACTTGCCCGTTAGTTACTTAGTCTTGTTTATCAACAATCACAAGAAGAAAACGATGGGTGAGTACAGTACAATAAGATATTTTCAGAGAGAGAGGCACCAGATTCACATAACTTTTATTATAGTATATTGTTATAATTGTTTTATTTTATTATTAGTTAGTGGTAATCTCTTACTGTGACTAATTTATAAATTAAACTTTATCATGGGTATATATGTATAGGAAAAACCAATATATATAGGTAGGGTTCAGTACTATCCACGGTTTTAGACATCCACTGAGGGTCTTGGAATATGTCTCCTATGGATAAGAAGGGACTACTGTATACATATACACATAGGCATGTACACATATCATATACATGCCAAAAAACATATGTATCATACATATAAATGTCTATTATACATAATAGGTATACACATATTTATGTATACATATGCAAAGAAACACATGTATGTACTGAAACAATGTATAGTTTTGTACATTTTAAAATTTTATATAAATAGTATTTACTCCACATTTTTTAAAGATGTAATCTTATAAACTTAATGATTCATCTTAACTACTGTATAGTGGATATATCAAATTATCAAGTTAATTTATCCACTCCCCTAATGATGGCTATCTAAGGTGCTTCCAATTTTTCATCTACAAACAGTGCTGCGGTCAGCATCCTTGAATACATCTCTGCAGGTGGACGGCTGTCTCTAGCATGCGTAACCAGGAGTGTGCCGATCCATAGGTAACTTCCACTTCATTAGCTATTGACAAACTACTCTCTAAAGTGGTTTTATTAATTTACACATCCTCACCTGCCCTTGGTATTAATAGAATTTATAATTTTTTGCCTGATAGGTAAGAAGAATATCTCATTTTCATATGCACTGTTCCTATTACTAGTTAGGCTGAACACCGGATCATTTGCCTTCGAAAAAAACCAAATCTGATTTGTTTTTATTTAATAAGTAGGTAAAAAAGGTCCTCAAATATTCATACTAGTGATTAGCTTTTACCTTCAAAATGAATCTATAATTTTACAAATTTGTTCCATAATATTATTAGAATATCCAAAAAGGGCAGGATCCATACTTAGTGACGGCTTGTAACATCATCCTTGGAAGGAAGAATAAAAGGCCTCAGGAGTCCGTGTCAGCCGTGCGAGGGACCTTAGAGATCATTTAATGCAGTGGTTCCCAAGGACCCATTATTAATTTTCCATGCTGAATTCAATGTTCTGAAATTTTTCCTCCTAAAAATGTACTTAACAGTTTTCCATTTGTAACTGCCAATGTGATTAGCAGGAGCTTGGCCATTCTATCAGCTTGGCTGATAGAATTCTAAACAAAAGGAAAAAAATACATTGTGGTTAGTGGGTGCAGCCCGTTGCAGGTAACAGTGCAACTTCCATTAACCGGTCAAGTTTTGAAAGGAGTTCCACCGCTAACAGTTCACAGAAGCAGTATAATCCAGGGAACCTATGAGGGAAACCACTGAGGTAATCTAACCCCTTCACTTGCAGGATAAAAGGCAGGACAGGTAAAGTAACACAATGGAGAGCACAGGGCTGGGCAAACCCTGCTGTCTCCTCAGCCAGCGCTTCTAACATGGTATCTTGTGGGGGTGACCAGGTACTTCCATTTCAGTGGTTACTGCCTGTGCTGAGTAGTGCGAAAACAGGAAGGCGCACACCACTGAAACAAAAAGGTTAAGGGGAAAAGACGTTTTAAAAGACTTTTTTTTTTTTTTAGTTTTCCTTTTTTTGTCTTTTTTTTTTTCGTGACCAGCAACGGGATCGCAACCCTCGGTGTTGCCCCCACACCTCGCTCAGCCAGTGAGTGGCCGGTCTGTATGCGGGATCCGAACCCTCGGCGGGAGCGCCACCGCGCTTCCCAAGTGGCGCACTGTAGCAGTGCGCCACCGGGCGGCCCTAAAAGACTTTTTAAACATCCCGAAATCAGTTGACAGAAGTATAGCCTTGAATTTCAGGAATCTCTCTTTTTTGGCTGTTTAAACTCTCCACTGTCATGTCCAACTAGCAGGAAAAAACCACAGGTTTATTCATTTTTCAAAATTATGGGACATTTTCTCTGCCTGGGTTGGATGTGATCAAATCACAGAAAAGGTAGGAGGCTTCACTACGTTAAGATTCAACTAATGGGTCCGAGGAACAGCAGGGATTACTGCTGGCTTTACCCTTACCTGGAGGCATATTTAAAATAATTATGTGTCATCTGAATGCGTCTTTTTCACCCAGTATACTGCATCACAAACCATAATTTTTGGGACACTATGTTCTATGCTGAAAGTATGCAGTGAATAAAAACAGCGTAAAAAAAAAAAAAGGATCTAGATTTTTGTTCTTGTGTAACTCCAGAAGAATGAATGTGCACAATGGGTGTATGTTGCAAGCAGGTATCATCAACACAATGCACCAACAAATTCAGTGAGTGGTGCTGTGTTGCACTGCGTATACGGTAGCTATAGGTGAGATGCCTACAGAAGGGCGGACAGAAAGAAGGACGGACAGACGGAAGGACGGACGGACGAAAGACGGCACACTGTCCGTCATATGCAGCGGCTGACTGAAGGCTTGGATGGCTATGTGCCGAGCACCTGATACAGAGAATTCATACACTGGAAAAGAGAACACAAAGGTACTGAATAAATGAAAGATCCTTTCCAATCTAGACCCTAGTATTCTGGAAATATGCTAATTTCATGTGTTATCTATATGGCATTGGCAACGAGGGGGGTGGAAATGGAGAGAGAAGGAAGTAAATTGACCACGAGCCTGCGTGCCTGACCCTGGACCAGACACATACATCACAAGGCTCCACCCAGGTGAACCATCTGTGCTTCGGAGCGCTCGTGCTATGAGTACTTCCGGGTGAAGCGAACCAGTCCCCTCCTCCAGGCGCATGCCCACCTTGAATTGAATCACTTTCCCCACATTCTTGAACTCCGGTAGCACATCGTCATAGAAGTCCAGGAACTGCTGGTAGGTCTCCTCTTCACTGTATTCCAGGCTGGCGTCAGGGTCATAGTCGTCTCTCCTGCACTGCTCCATTCCAAACGTTGTAAACATGCTTTTAATAAGAAGGGTGGGACTCGAGGCTGGGAAATTATGTTTACGTGAACACCTATGTATGAAAGAAAACTTAAATGCACTAGTCCAAGAGTCAAAAATTATACACAAAAAGCTTGCTTTAAACTTTGAGATAAAGACTCAAGTAACCTAGTTGTTTTGACTTAATTATAAGGTAATAAACCCCACTCAGATGCTAAATTTCTGCACTTAAGAAAACTGTTCTAACACTGACCAGTATATCGGCTTTCATCAAAACGTGAAGTTAGAAATGATTTCCAAGCTCATATGCCATTCAGCTGCCTCTGAATGGAGTTCCGGAAGCCTTACATATGTTGAACCATAAGGAAAAAGAAGGTCCATTGGTGTAAACAGGTGTGGGGACAGGTAAAAAGATGCCATAATGGTGGGACTCTTGTGAGGAAGGTGAGAACTAACAATCCAATCCTGCTTCTGCACAATCTTCAGTTAACTCACATGCTTAGAGAATAATGTAAGAATTTCCAGTTAATGGAGTATTTCATCCATGTACAGCATTTTAGAGTTTTCACGGTATTTTTACATTTTTTTTCTTCTGATCCTTATAACCTGTTAGGACAGGTAGGGCTAGTATTTTCTCCACTTTGCAAAGAAGGAAGCTGAGGCCTAGAGAAGCACACTTGTCCAGATCACGTGACCGGGAAGGGATGAGTCCAAGAGATCTGAATTACCCTACAACTGGAGCCTGTTCATTATAGGGTATAATAAAATATAATTTAATTTTTATTAAAGATGATTAACCATTATGAATAATTTTCTTTTCATAGTTTAAACTGGACTCAGGCTAAGCTGACCAGGCTAACCTGAGTGATTTTTTAAAAATCCTTAATATGAGTTTACTTTCTTCTCCTAAAATAAAATGAGGGAAAAAAAATGTAGTTCATGGTTCCAAATAAACAAAATTTTCCTGGTTAGCTTTCTAGTTAAAAATTGGTAAGACAAAATTTTTTTTTTTTTTTTTTTGTCTTTTGTCCGTGTCCAGCAACGGATCGCAACCCTCAGTGTTGCCCCCGTACCGGACCGGGGACCGGCGACGGGATCGCAAGCCTCGGCGTTGCTCCCGCGCCTCGCTCAGCCAGTGAGCGGGAGCCGGTCTGTACGTGGGATCCGAACCCTCGGACGGGAGCGCCGCCGCGCTTCCCAAGCGGCGCACTATCCAGTGCGCCACCGGGCCGGCCCCGGTAAGACAAAATTTTTAGGAAAAAAAATCCATAGAACTTAGGAAAAAAGAAAGCTGAAAAATAGGGCAAGTGTTGGGAAAAAAACAATGGCCCTGAAATGATGAAATGTTTAATCATACTTTTCCATGTCTGTAATATACATCTATGAGCATACTGAGATCAGGCATACAGAATGCCTAGCATACAACATGCCCAGCTCAGAAATCTTCAATTTAATGTTAATGTTCATTAACGTGAAATTTACTATTTTACAAATGACCTCCTGGATTATTCAGTTAGAGACCTTGTAATTAGATCTATCTTCCCAAGTATAGCTACCGATAGAACAAAGAGTGAGGATTCAACCTAGCTGGCAATGTTAGCAGTGAATCAAAATTTTACAAGTATGAAGCACATATAGAATTAAACAGGAACCAATTTAACGAAGTTAAAATTCTGCTCACAGGATTCTTAGATCTGAACAAACTTGGCCCTAGTTCCCAGAATGTCAAATAAGCATTTGTCAGTTTTAGAACAGAGCCAAAGTCCCTGTCTAGGAAAAATCCCCATTTGGCCTGGAGATAATCCTTACAGTCTGAGTGTATACAAAAGGCCAGCCCTACAGCTCCTGCTGAAGGGTCAGCTAAGAGAAATGGTACTTAGGAAGGCAGTCTAAAGCTATGGTACCAAGCCTGTGTGGTTCTCAGAATTATCTGGGGAGAACAGAGATTTCTCAGGTCCTATCCTAGACCGTGTAAACAGACTGCAGAGCCCATATTTTCAAAGTAGCTTCCTACTTTGGTCTTGAAGATCGGCCATATTTGAGAACCACTGGTTTAAGTCATGCTATGTACCTCTTACCCTGACACTTGAATCAAGTCAGATTGCCGCAGAAACAAAACACATAGTTGGACCTTACTTCAGCCCAAGGATGGCCAATAAATGGTGTGGGTATCCAAATGCCCCCTCAGGTATAGCTGACTATTCTCTTCTTTTTCCTCTTCTTGAGAGAGCCCGTCCACTACCCACTACCTTAGAATCTCCACACTGCACACCAAAGTTAGGGTGCAATCATTTAACAAAGGTCACCATAAGAAATATTCTCATGAAAATTACATATGCAACTATTACAAAACACTGATCAAACTTATTGTCCACCTTCTTACTCAATGTCTTCACACAATGTTCCATGGGAGAAACATTTAGAATCTGATGTCCAGAAAATTCTTGTTCTTTTCAGAAATAACACTCATTCATCCTTTTTGGTAAGAATTATAGCTTGTTATCTGCTTGGGATGCATTAAAATCCAGAGTCAAAAGTACTGCACATTCAGAATAACTTGCTTTCTCCTCTTCTCTTTGCTTTTGATTTCCTCTATTTTATTTAACTTAGTGCAGCAGATTGTGAGCCTTCTTTAAATCACTTTTAGAAGTAGGTGAGGTATAGATACTCATACAAATAAAGTTTTATCTCCCATCGATGATTATAATCTTTTAGGAGAAAAAAGAAATAGAATTCCCCTCAAAGCTATGACTTTAAGAAAATACCAATTCCAGAAAGGTTCTAGAATTGAACTCTGTACTAATTACAAAAGTAAACCACCAAAGAAATGCTTAAGTTACGAAAGTGTTTCTCTGATAATCTGACAAACCTTAACAGAAAAGAATGGCTGTACGATCTGCAGTTAAGTCACTGAAGCTCTCCGTAAAAGGGGAACAGAACAGTAAACTTGTCTGAAGGAATGGTGCTGGATTTTGTCTGCTAATTTCACAGAATTTTATGTCACAACTCATTGCTTGAATGATAAAAATACCCGAATCATGCTCATACTTTGACAGTTGTAATGGTGAAATTTCATGTGCCTATGAAAATAGTAAGATATGTTCAAAAACTAATTTGACCAGTCCATATTTCCTTGAAATGACTCTCAGAGATGAGGTCTGAGAGCTTGATAGGCCACTCCCCTTTCCACAAGGAAGTGCCTGTCAGCTGCATTCCTGAAACCATTTGTGACAGTTCCTCTTCTCTCACTTATGCCCAACATAAGGAGAATGCAGAATCAGGCCAGCACAAGTCTTAAATTTCAAGGAAATGTCAGATATGTCATAAACAAGGAATCCTGCAGCTGGAAAACCTTCAATGCAATTTGGTTCAAGTCTCCATTCAAATGAACTCCTATTGATTCTCAGTTGTCTCTGAAAGGTAATTTGCTGTACATTTTTCTTTGGTGGGGGGTGTTTTATACCGATCAATCATTACTGTTTCTTGCTGAGATTAAGTGTACATTTGATAAACACTTCTAAAGGTATTTCTCCTTCCCTAGTTCCTAGTTCCTCAGGAGGAGACTTTCTACTAGATACCGGATCCTATGAATTCTTTCATGCATATTCTGGGCATTTACAATCCTAGCCAAAAAATACAAAAGAAGTTATGTATTCTACATTAGTGGCTTTCATTCCAGGAGCACATTAGAAACACCTGAGGACATTTCAAAACTAAGGCCACTCAAGTCTCTGAGATTCTTTCTGATTTATTCACTTTGAGGTGAAACATAATTTTTTTAAGCTTTCTAGATAATTCTAACGTGTATCCAGGGTTGAGAACCACTGTTCTTAAAAAAATGAAAAATGATATGAAGGCTTAAATTAAAAAAGAGAAATATAGACAAGGCTCATATTTTCAAAGAAGGAAAAAAACCTCACAGCATAGACAATTTTATGAATAAAGTAAACGTGAGAGACAATATATACTTTCTTCTTAAATAGACATGTTTTCCTCTTCATATGCCTTTTTAGGATTAATAGAACATAAAGATGATTAGATCTTTTCTTCCGCAGGTTATAAAGTAATAATTAGACTTTGCCTCAGATGGATTCTTTCACCATTAGGAATCATTTACCTGCTTGAGTTGTTCATTCATAAACAAGCCAAATTATAAAAATCAGCATTACCTGGCATAAAGTAGGTGTTCAAATACTTCCTAAATGACAAAAGGGATGAATCCTAGTTTTTCACATCAATGTCTGGTTTCAAAAACATTGATCCAAAAGATGCAGAGAAAAAGAAGAGTGCCTTAGAGAATAACTGTGACAGTAACAATAATGAAAATCCCAGCACATACTCGATAGTGCTCACTGTGGGCCCGGCCCAGTTCCACATGCTTCCCCACCCATTCACTCAGAGTGCCTCACGAGGGCAATACATTGTGATATGGACTGTGTTCCCCAAGTTTTAGGTATTAGTAGCTTGACTAATTAATATGACTATTAAAAGGGTGGGAAATCCTATCATGGTGACTGAAAGGTGAGGCCATGAAGAGGTGATTAGATTCTCAGGACCAAGCTGAGTGAATGGATTAATAATGGTGGACATGGGCATGGTTCTGAGGGCTTTAAAAAGAGAGCACTGAGACTCTCTCTCTCTGTGCTCTACCATTTTCTGCAATGTGAGACCCGTGGGTCACTGTTGCCACCATCAGATGTGTTCCTTGGACTTTGGACTTCCCAGATTCTGAAACTGTAAGCAATAAATTTTGGCTTTTTAAATAAATTACCCAGTACCAAGTACTTTGTTATAAGCAACAGAAACAGACTAATACAGAAAATTGGTACCAGAAAAGTGGGGTGTTGCTTATAACAAATATTTGAAAATGTGGAAGTGGCTCTGGAACTGGGTGTTGAGGAAAAGCTGGAAGAATGTGAAGAAGCTGGCTAGAAAAAGCCCAGCGGCTGGTGGGAGTTTAGAAGACAAAAAAATCAGGGAGAGGCAAGAAGCCATGGGCTGCAGCCCCCTCCACCTGGAAGCAGGCAAGAGAGCATGTCCAGGGTCTTAGGCAAGGAGCTGAGGGCCACAGCCCCCTCCACCAGGAAGCAGGCAAGAGAGCATGCCCAGGGTCCTAGGCAAGTGGCCGAGGGCCACAGCCCCCTCTACCTGGAAGCAGGCAAGAAAGCACACCCAGGGTGCTAGGCAAGGAGCTAAGGGCAGTAGCCCCCACCTGAAAGCAGGCAAGAGAGCACACTGAAAACACCACTTCTGCAAGGGTGACCCACCACGGCCAATGCCACAGCCATGGCTGCCACAAAAGTGGCTCAGAACTACAGCAGCAGCCAGTCACCATGCAGGCAGTTCACCAGACACTCAATTGCACTGACACAAGGAGAGTCACCAATGGAGACTGGAAAAAGAAGAGGATGTCTCTCTCCTCAGAACCCACTCCAGAGTAACAGAAGAAGCAACTGCTGTACCAGATGACCAAACATCGACATAGAGATACTAGAAATACGAAAACCCAAGAAAATATGACACTACCAAAAGAATACAGTAAGTCTCAAATACCAGACCCTATACAGCAGGAAACCCTTGTAATGACTGAAAAGGAATCCTGAGCAACAATCTTAAGGAAACTCACTGAGATACAAGAAGACTCAGTTAGACAACATAATGAAATGAGATGAAAAAATCTAGGCTATGAAGGAGGAAATTTACAAAGAGACTGATACCTGTAAAAAGAATGTAGCAGAACTCATGGAACTGAAAGATTCACTCAACAAAATAATAAACACAACCAATAGCTTAAGCAGCAAGCTAGAACAAGCAGAAGAAAGAATTTATGGTCTTGAAGATAGTCTTTTTGAAATAAACCAGGTGGACAAAAAAAGGAAAAAAGAATTAAAAAGATGAAAATCTAAGAGAGCTAGCAGACAACCTTAAGCACACAAACATTCAAATTACAGGTGCTCAGAAGGGGAGGAGAAAGGAAAAGGCATGGAAAGCTTACTCACTGAAATAACAGAAAACTTCCCAGGTTATAAGGAGAGACATGGACCATCAGATCCAGGAGGCTCAAAGATCCCCAAACAGATTCAACCCCAAACTATCCTCTCCAAGATGCATTACAGTCAAACTGGCAAAGCTTAAAGACAAAGAGAATCTTAAAAGAAAAGCATCAAGTCACCAATAAGGGAGCCCAAATCAGACTAACAGCAGACTTCTGAACAAAAACTCTACAGGCCAGAACAAATGGGATAATATATTCACAGTACTAGAAGAAAAAACTACCAGCTAAGAATACTATACCCAGCAAGGCTACCCTTCAAAAATAAGGGAAAAAATAATGTATTTTCCAGACAGACAAAAGCTGTGGGAGTTCACCACCACATGACCAGCCCTACAAGAAATCCTCAAAGTCCTGCACCTGGAATCCAAAAAGCAATAATCACTACCACAAATACACAAGAAAGAATAAAACCCACTGGTACAACAAAAATGCAAACAAGAAAGAGAAACTAAATCTTACCACCACAAAAAACCATAATGAAAATGTAATAACGCCCCTACTTTATCTCATTTCCCTGTGATTTTTCTTTCTGCCCATTGTTTATTTAGGAGAGTGTTGTTTAATCTCCACAGATTTGTGAGTTTTGTAAATTTTCTTCTGTTATTGTGGTCAGAGAACATATTTTCTATGATCTTAGACTTTAGAAAAAAAAGGAAAAATTTAAACAAAAAAATTGTAATTTTAATAGTCCATATATATTTTATTTATGGATATATCAATATTTTTTCAATAAATCCCTACGTAAAAAAAATTAACTGAATTAATTTAGATATATCTTCTATTTTAACCAGTTATATTTTTAAAAATCTTATTACGGAGAATTTCTAGCAAACATAATAGTAGAGAGAATTTTTTATGATCCATTCCCCCTGCCTGCTCACCCTTTTTTTCTTTTGGTCTGAAGAATTTCTCAACAAATTCCAGACATCATGTCTGGCTGATCATTTTGAAATAAAATGACCAGCCTATATCAAGGCCATTAGTGACTAATGAAAATAAAGTACCTTTGTATTTCCCACTAATTTTACTCTGGAACCTAGGCTTTACTAAGGCTTTTCTGTACTGACATGAAACTGAGGCCTAAAGTTTATAGTCATGACAGCATACACTTTTGCTGACACCAATGAAGAGTCCATACTGATCTGTGAATTTATGAATATTGATTAAGACTCAAGCAGAAGTAAAAATGTCTTTTAGATTATATGCATACTATTTTCCTCTTATAAGTAATTCTTAATAACATTACATAAAATAAAATAATAAAACCAGGGAAAGACTGGAACTTTTTAGAGACTGGTTAAGTGGTAGTGAGCAGAATGCTGATAGAAAAATGGACTGTGAAGACCATTCTAAAGAGGTCTCAGATATAAATGAGAAGAGACTTATTGGAAACTGGGGCAAAGATTGCCCTTGCTATGAACTGGCAAGGAACGTGGCAGCATTCTGTTCATGCCCAAAAGCTTTATGGAATGTGGAACTTCAAGGAGCTGACCCAGGGTATTTGGCAGAAGAAATTTCTAAGCAGCAAAGCATTAAGGAAGCTCCATGGTTACCTGTAATAGCCTACACTGAGTTATGGCGGCAAAGGCATGACATAAAGCCAGAATTCAAAAGGGAAGCAGAGCGTAAAGATTTGGAAAAGTTGCAGCCTGGCCATGTGGGAGAGAAGTAGAGAGCTTTTTCAGAAGAAAAATGCAATGGTACTAAGAAGATTAATACAAAAGAAAGGGATTATCAAGGGAAGGGGAAAAAGGCCCTGAAGGCACTGCAGAAGCCTCTGGGGCCAACCCCTCCATTTCAGGCTGAGACCTAGGGAGACAGAATGATCTCAGGGAACAGGCCCAAGGCACCCTCCACAAGCTCGCTGTCCAGGGCCACCTCGGGAAGCTGCTTCCAGCAACTAGCACCCCAGTTGCTTTGGCTGCTCCAGCCATGGCTAATTTGGCCCCTGGTGTGGTTGGACCAGCAGCTGTGGAAAATACAAGCAGAAGCCTTGGTAGTGACCACATGGTGTTAGGTCTATAGGCTCACAGAATGCCAGAGCTGTGAAGGCTTGGGAGCCTCCACCCAGATATCAATGGATATATGGAGAAGCCTGGGGGCCCAGAAGAGATCTGTTGCAGGGGCAGATTCACCGCACAGTCTTTGCTAGAGTGATGCCAAGAGGAAATGTGGGTCAGAGCTGCAGCAGAAAAGCCCCATTAATACTATACATAGTGGAGCCGTGGGAGCTGGACTGCCTTGGAGACCCAAGAATTGGGGAGCTACCAGTGGGCAATGCCAGCCTCCGAGAGCTGAAGCATCGCTGGGGACCAGGAAAGCCACAGGAGCCGAACTGCCTGAGGACTTGGGGACACAATCCCTGCACAAGCATGCAAAGGACAGCAAACATGGAGTCAACGTACATGATTCACCAGCTCTAAGATTTAATGCCTGCCCTGCTGGGTTTCAGACTGGCTTAGGACCTGTTACCCCTTTCCTTTTGCCTATTTCTCCTTTTTTGAATGGGACTATGTACCTCATGCTTGTTCCACTATTGTATCTTGGAAGTAGATAACTTGTTTTGACTTCACAGATGGGACTCTGAATTTTGGACTTTTGAGCTGAAACAAGTTAAGACTTTGGGGATGGAAAGAATGTGTTTACCTGTGAGAAGGACATAAACTTTGGGGGCCAGGGGCAGAATGATATGGATTGTGCCCCCCAAGTTTTAGGTATTAGTAGCTTGATCCCCACTGTGGCTGTTAAGAGGGTGGGAAATCCTATTATGGTAACTGAAAGGTGGGGCCTTGAAGAGGTGATTAGATTCTCAGGACCAAGCCTACCGAATGGATTAATGGTGGTGGTCATGGACGTGGTTCTGAGGGCTTTAAAAGGAGAGCACTGAGACCCTCTGTCTCTCTGTGCTCTGCCATTTTCTGCAGTGTGAGACTCCTGGGTCACTGTTGCCACCATCACATGTGTTCCTTGGACTTTGGACTTCCCAGATTCTGAAACTATAAGCAATAAATTTCATTCTCTTTACACATTACCCAGTTCCAAGTATTTTGTTATAAGCAACAGAAACGGACAAATACATTACGTTTACCCCCATTTCACAGATGAGGGAATTAAGGCTCACAGAGCTTAAGTAACTTTCCCAAAGTGACAACCACTGAAGCCAGTTTTTGAACCCAGGGGGTTCCTGAGTCTGAGCACACTGACAATAGTGCATTAAAATACTTTTCCTCTATTCAGTCTGATCCTGTCTTTCACAAATACCCCTTTACGCATGCCAAGTTTTAAAAGCCTGTTTTGGGCAGTGTTTGCCATTCCAAAACTACAGCCAGGCTGCTCCAACCTCTTCAAATATATTATTACCCCATCCTAGTTGTCCACGGTGGACTGATGTAAGCACAGGAAGCAGCATCAGAGAACTCGGCTAAGCCCAGGGAACAGGAACAGAGGGAACAGAGGACGACCACCTGAGGAAATGGAGAAGCAGCAGGAAAGCAGCAGACGCCTGATGATGAACATTTCAAACTGAAGCCTGGGCGTCTTCAAAGAGAACTCCCAGACCTTGACATTTTGATTCACTTCATTCATTCACACAGGATAAAACAAAATTAGTTACCTATCTCCAAATCTGCAAGCTCCTGTTTTACTGTAGAATGGACAATTAGCTCGATCTTTCTCCATTATTCTTAAATCCATGGGTGGTTCTGGGTTTTGCCATGTGGCACCATTTTCCAACTGTTGAAAATAACCATAACTTCACTGGTGGTATAAAAACCCATGAAAGACCAAATGATTCAAAATGAATTCAAATATTTGTCAAAGGTAAAAACAGTTTAATTTAAGAATACAAACATTTAAATTGTTAACAGGCAATCAAAACTTTACAAACAACTGTTCTGAGACATGAGCTGTATTTCTCTTGGCTCGTAGTCAATTTCCTTTACCAGGCATCACTACTGCTACCAGGGGCAGTCACCAGGGTTTCCCTTCTGTCCATCCATTCTGAAAAGGGTCCAAGGACTTATTAGGAAACTGTCACTGACAGAAATAGAAGTTATTCTGAATCAAGGGAGACCGTCCATTTGAGGCTAGCAGTATGTGATGTTGCTTACACACATTTTAAGGACTCGAAACAAGTACAGTCCACAGGGAAGATGCAATACCATTTAATTTTGTTCATCAACAAACTTTTGTTGTTGCTGTATAAATTGAAAAACCACAAAGGTGATTCCAGATATCCAGACACAATCTAAAGAGCATACCACAAAACATTACTGGAACTACAGTTTCTAAAGAAACATTAATTGGTCTCAAATTCTTAACGAAACGTTTTGAAAATACCTCATTTTCAGCCTGATCCAGCATCTTCTGCGCAGCTTCCTACAAATGGTGCAAACATAGGACTAATGAAAACCCATAAGTCAGGTAAGTCACGTCTGGTTTCTCTGGTTAAGAATCCCATGTATAACAAAACACACAAACACATGCGTGGCTTCTGGTTCTAACTTTCTTTCTATGCATAGAGCTTCTGAAAGCTTTCAAAGGATATATGGCTGAGAATTTCTATTCAAATAGAAAATTTGATAGATCACATTGCAAAGTATTAAAAATAGAGCTTTGTAACAGTTCCCGTAACAGTGATATTTAGTACATTTGAGCATATATAACACATTCTAGTTTTTAAAAGGAAGTATTATTGAATATAAAACAGGATGCTAGCTGAAACATAAACATTTAACAGAAGCTAAAATATGACATGACCAGCAGTAACTAGGATTTAGGAGAAATTTCAAACTTTTCAATAAAGCAAAAGAAGCCCTGCAATATGCCAGTATTTTTCTACCTAATTAGCATTTGAACAAGTTTTAAATTATGCTCGACAGATTATTCTTCCCAAGCCCCTTAAAGCATTACATAAGACTCATATGTCTAGCTGCTTACTTGATAACTCTTAACTAGTCAGGTAGAGTCCTCAGTAACTTAATACATTCAAAACAGAACTCCTGTTATTTTTTACCCACCCTGCCACCTAAATGCCCTTCTTGGTAAATGGTGCTGCCACCTGCCCACCTGTTCAAACAAAAAACCTAAAAGTATGACTTGAATTCCCCTCCCTTTCTGTCTCCTCCCTCCCATTCTGTCTACTATCTAGAGAACCGCTGACTCTGCCTCAACCTACCCCAAATCTACATACTTATCTTTATTAAGCACTACCCTCATCCAAATCATCATCATCTCCTATCTGGAATAGCAGCCTTCTAACTGGTCACTGCTTCTTCCCATCCCCCATTTTTTTATATAAAAGTTAGAATGATCTGTTAAAGGTAAAGATATAAGAGAGATGAAGTCACAACCTGCTTAAAAACCCTTCAACGGCTTCCTATTACAATGAACATAAAATCCAAACTCCTCCTTCAAATCCAGGAGGCCCTGCGTGATCTGACCCAGCCTATCTTCCTGACCTCCTCCTTACACCCCTGCCCCTCTCTCTCTCCTTTGGTCTCTAGGTTTCGGGCACCCTGGCCGTCTTTCAGCCTCCAGGCCTCTTCTCCTGAGATCTCTGTACTCAGGTATCAGCTCAAACATTACCTCCTGAGAGATTTCCTTTACCAGGTAATTTAAAGAAGTACTTTTCTATCCCCATCATTCTATCACATTGCTCTCTGCTTTATTTCTTTATAGCACATAACATTATCTTCTCACATTTAAAATGATGTTTTACTTACTTATTATTTGATGCTCCCATCTAAAAAACTAACTCAGTGAGAGCAGGGACTTGTCATTTTCACTGCTCTATCTCCATCCACTAGAGAAGTGTTTAGCACACAGAAGAAACACATAACACATATTCCTTTACGTATGCTTAGAATCTATTTCATTTTACCCACTTCTCCTTAACGACTCACCGGAATCCCTTTGAAACAAAAGCATTTAAAAAAGCCTTAGCTTTTACCTGATCCTTGAAAGACCTCAGTTGAAGAACATTCTACTGTTAAAATAAGAATTGATTCCTCTCAATGAAAAATGACAATCTCCAACAACTTTTCTGCCCCATAAAAACCTAGTGTGATCTTGCCTCATCTGGAAAGCACTGCTCAAATAAGGGCATCTAAAATTTGCATTGGAATTAACTGATGGCCTGAGACAAAAAAACAGAGGTTGTGGTGGCTGCTTCTACCCTGTCATGACTAGGATGTTAACAAATGCATTTTTCCTTATTATCAGGTGATTAACTACCCAATTGTATGCTATTCAAATTTAGCAATATTATAGAAAAGATATATCCTGATGAACCAGTCAAGGAAAGATGAGCTGTGCTATCTTTGAAATAAATACATTGTTAAGGAATAGCCGCAAAATATACCAAATCAATCTTTAAAAAAGAATCCTGGCGGACAGAGAAGATATATACATATAACTTATAGATATTTTTAAATGAGCAACTGCATGTTAGCTACAATTGCCTGTATAGCCTAAGTTAGAAAGGAAGTCAAGATTTAATAAAAACAAGAATGTTTTCTAATTCCTCGATATTTGAGTCCCTGATTTCTTCGAATCAACGTATTCTTGCTGACATGTCATAAGCAGTTAAATCTCATATGAACTAAAATGTGGAAACAATACAAAATATTCTCTAAAGAAGTAAACCCACATAGAATAGCACCTTAGAAAAACACCATTTGCTAGAGCAATACAGAGTGTAAAGTATGGGCCAGCTGCCTGTTTTTTAAATAAAATTTTATTGGAACACAGCCATACCAGTTCATTTACATATTATCTGTGGCTGTTTTAGCATATACTGGCAGAGCTGGATGTTTGTCACACAGACCACACACACAAAAATATTTTCTATTTGACTCTATGGGAAAAGTTTGCCAATCCCTGCTATAAAGGGTAAATTGGGTAAAGTTGAAAAGAACCTTAATTTAAGGAATCCGCCACCGAGCAGACCCAAAGAAGAACATCATAAGGAAACTCTGGTGTATATCTAGACTAAAAATATGACTCTTTCGTGGCTGGCCACTTAGCTCAGTTGGTTAGAGTGCCACCTTGTAACACTAAAGTCAAGGGTTCAGATCCCCTTACCGGCTAGCCCCACACAAAAAAGGCTCTTTCCAAACAAAGCAAGAACAAAAAAGAAAAAAATAAACCCAAACCCTGACATGCCCACAGCTTATTCTTCAAACCCATCACACAGCACATGGGGACACTAAGGATATGCAGTGCGTTTATCCTCCTGTGACAGAAATCACCTCTCTTTCTCTCTTCTCCTGTAGTTTCTGCTCCTCCTCTTCTCTCTCTTTTCTCTGCTGTTCTTCCCATTCTTCCTTTAACTTTCTCTTCAAAGGAGAAAAAAAAGAGAAAGAAGGAAAGTTAATTATTTTTCAGACTTGCTTTTAAAGACTTTTTTTTTTAACCAGTAAGGGAATCACAACCTCCGGCATGGTGTGGTCCGCACCACGCTCAGCCAGTAAGCGCACCGGCCATCCCTATATAGGATCCGAACCCATGGCCTTGGCGCTGCCAGCGCCGCACTCTCCCGAGTGAGCCATGGGGCCAGCCCTAAAGAACATTTAACACTGCACAAATAAATGAAAAACTTTAAAAACATCAGTATTTTAAAGTTCAAGATATACAACTCTTAATGAATTATTTTGGCTAACTAAATAATTAGTTAACCAGTTATTTGATTAATACTGTACCTCTTGTTCTTCCTGCCGTTTTCTAGCTGCCTCTTCCTTTTCCTTCTTTATTCTGAATTCTTCTTGCGCCTTCTGCTCCCTCAGCAACCACTCCTCATGTAATCTTTGCCTATCAATATAATGATGTAATCAAATAAAAGAAATGGGCAGTAACCAAATACATACTCACACACATGTGATAGCAAAATGACACATTTGGGGAATAGTTAAAATATCAAGAAAGGTATTTTTCTATAAAGTAGTCAAGTGGAGGTAAGAGAACCAGAAGATATGAGTAGAGCTTTTGGAAAAGCACCAGGTGTCAGCAACTATCTTCCTAGAGGGTAATAAATTAAAACCACTACTTCTACATTTCATAGATAGGTACAGCTGTGACACCTTTTACAATTAAAAAAAAAAAAAAAAAAAAAACCACTATGACTTTCCCTTTAGGCTGACAGTGATGTTCAGGTGCCAATAAAGTGGGTAACAAGTTTCAAAGCAACATTTAGCTTCTCACATTCAGAAAATATTATCCTTCCTATTCTATGCATTTTAAAAGTGGCAATTCCATGACTGCAACACTATGAAAAGCTGGCATTTTCTGCCATAAACCTTTGGACTACCATTTGATACAGTTAAGAGACTCCTGTTGTTTGCCTCCAAACACCTGAAGTGCTGAAAGAAGGAAAATAAAACTACATTGTGATCATGTTTTTAAAAGAAAGCAAGCTACAGGTTTTAAGAAAAGATTACAAGAAATTATAAAAATAAATTAGGGACCATCTAGTTTATTTTTTTAAGTGACCCATTATAAAGAGTGATATTACCTTAAAGTGGCAAGTGTCTCAGATATCCAATATCACAAGTTTTTAATTTAAAGAGGGGTTAGATTTCCAAAGTTTATTTGCCAATCATGTGTTTAGAACCTAGATTTCATTTTCTCATTGAATTTGTAAAAGAAAAATGAAATATGAGAAATTATTCTATATTACTTCAGCAACATTAGGAGTTAATAAGGTTTTATGTCTAACCTGGGAACCTAACCACAATTTTAAATATTCTACAGGAAAATATATTCCGTTTCCAACTATAGATTCCAGGAGCACATCTTTTAGCCATGGTAGAGGCTGTTGTACTGCAGACGTCAATGTTCCTATACATGCTTTAGGTACCCTATAGATATTTCAGTGTGCAGAGCTCTGATTTATAAATCTTTTGAGGAACATATAATTGTATATAACTAAACCAAATGGCATACAAATTTAAGATGACAAAAAAGTAAAATGTTAAAAACTGCAAAATTTAATAACTTGAATATACTATATATCTGCTTTAAAATAGGATATAAAGCCACACAGTATTTTCACATAAGTAGTTTTCCTGTTTTTCAATAATTAAAATAGGATGCAACTTGTGTAGGAATAAACAAAGATCAAAGGAACACAAAGACATATGTATGTGATTTAAAAGAAGCATTTCAAATAAATTGGAAAACAAAAATTACTTCCCTATTTCATACCATATACAAGGGTACCTCAAAAAGTTTGTGGAAAAATAGAACTAAAAGATAATATGATTTTTTCCATGGACTTTTTGAAGTACCCTTGTGCACTGTCTTCATCTTAACAGAAATCTATAAGAACAACTAGAGTTATTATAGCAACTCCTATCTGCTAACACTGTGTTAAACAGTATACGCATATCACCTCATTTAATCTCCACAATTCTATGAGGTAAATGCTATGATGAATTTTATCTCTGTATTAAAGACAAAGAAATTGAAGCTTAGAAACATTAAGAAACGAATGCAGCTAGAAAGAGGCAGAGCCAGTACTGGAATTCAGGTCTGGCTGAAACCAACTCCATGTTCTCAATCACTACTGTTCTTTTTTTTTTTTTCCCCCACATTTTGATAGTTCCACATATTTATGTGCTTAGATAGATAACAGGAATCAATTACAAGAGAAGAAGCAACATTTCCAGTAACATGCTAAATAGCTAGAGAATATAGTTTTTTTCTCTGTCTTAAAAACTTATTTTTTTATTGTGGTAAAACATACCATAAAATTTACCATTTTAACCATTTTAAGTGTACAGTTGAATGGCACTAAGTACATTCACATTGGTGTGTGCCCCGATTTTTTCCCCCCAAAACCACCCTCTAAAAATAACCAAGAGAAAAAAATAGAATATTTTCATCATCTTCAGATAGGGAAGACTTTTTTAAGTCAGATAACACGACCAGTTATCATGACAAAAATCGATGACATGAAAATCAAATCATGGTAATGCCAGAAGCCAAGTTAGTACTGATGACAAATGAGACAAATGTACATCACACATATGACAGATAAAGGATTTATATCCTTACTCAAGTAACAGAAGTGCTTACAAAACAAATTAAAACACACATATCTCAGGGCCAGCCCGTGGCTCACTCGGGAGAGTGTGGTGCTGATAACACCAAGGCCGTGGGTTCGGATCCCTATATAGGGATGGCCGGTTAGCTCACTTGGGAGAGCATGGTGCTGACAACACCAAGTCAAAGGATTAAGATCCCCTTACCGGTCATCTTAAAGGAAAAAAAAAAAAAAAGAACACATATCTCAAAAAGATGCAAGACTTAAGCAATCCACAAATAGGTAATAAAATTTATAAAAAGATACTCAACCTTACTAATTCAGAAGTGTACGTTTGAAACAATAAAATATAACTTTTCACTATAGGATTTTTAAAAATTGATAATGCCTAGTGTGAGTGAAGGTACAGGGACAATGAGCACCTTGATTCACTGCCAGAAGGGCTACCAACTAGGTTCCCTTTCTACACAGGCAACTACATTTTCCATGGATCCCAACAATTTCATTTCTAGGCATTTCTCTAAGGAAATGATAGGACAATTACCAAGGACAAATAAGCATGGATGCTCACTGCAACTTTTTATATAGTAAAAAACCATTACAACCTGAATGTCCCTGAGTACAGAACTATAAATTATGAATGAATAAATTATAAGGAATTACTATACCATACAATGTACACTGTTGGCATTAAAATGGTTGAATTAGATCTTTGCATCAACAACGAAATATATGTACTATATACTTAACAAGAAAGCAATTTATAGAAAAATATATAAATATCCCATTATAGAAATACACATGTACAGGACATTTATACTTCGTTTCTTTCTTAACGATGGCTATATAATGTGTCATGTTAACTGAAGCCTTTTCACTTTTTACAATTGTTAATTTTTTTTTTTAAATGTACAAATTAGCAAAAACAGTGAAAAATACTTCCACCTCAAAAAAATGGTAACATCTAGTTTTAGCCCATCAGCTAGATATTTAAATAGTTTATACAGGGTATTTTATAAGACCTATTTAGTACAAGATTTTATACAGAAAACCTGTACTAGGTTAGTAAAGGGTGATAATATTCCAGTAAAATAACTAAGTTCACTTTAAGTGTTTCAGTTAGCACTGACCTCTCTCTCTCCAACAGCTTCTCTTCTTCTAGTTGTTGTTCTTCAGTCAAAGTGTCATCTTCCTCATCCTCCTCTGAGATTGCCAAGGGAATTTAAATGTTTTATTAAACTGAGTATTGAAAATTTTGGGTCAAAAATTCAGGAAAAAACATACATATAATCTTTAATCTTTACAATTATGATAAAAACCTGTTTTTAAAACTTTCTAATCATAAGGACTCTAATTGCCCATATTTGGTACAATGTGAGCATCAAAAAGAACAATAACGATAGTGGATAACACATTAAATTAAAAGATTAATCAGTGGCTCCATAGTGATACTCAAAGAGGTAAGTGGGGGTGTGGGAAGGAACATTCATCTAAAAACTTAGACAAAGATGTTAAAAATATTAGATGAAAGCTTGTTGGGAAGAGGATATTTACACTATCTCAAAATTTCACCCCACAGACGAGGACTAATGACAAAAGGGAAAATGCACCTTTTACAATGAAGCAACCTGGTGGGCAACACTTTTTATACTTAGCATCACTGGGAGTGTAACAAACTGACATTATAGGTCTCGTGATGTACGTAATAAGTTTACAACATCCGTTCTGTAGTATTCTGTCATAAAGAGCATAACATGAATCTAATCATGAGAAGACAGACTAATCCAGAATGCAGGGCATTCCATAAGATAACTGACTTGAGCTGTTCAAAACAGTCAATCTTGGTTTGGGATGGTTTAAATACAGCCTGTATATCATACCATCGAATTACTGTTCATTTACTCAAGTGCAAGTTTGATACTATGTTTCTGTGAGAGAACATCATTATTCATAGGAGATGCTGGCTGAAGGACTTAGGGGTGAGGTGCTGTGATATCTGCAACTGCAGTGCAAAGGGTTCAGAAAAAAATTTATATGTATATATATCTCTCTGAGGGAAAAAAAAGCAGTAAAAGTAGAGAAGAAATAGGAGAAAACTGAAGTGATCTTAAGGAAATGTAACAGACCTCAGACTTAAAGGAAAAAGATTTTGTGTTTGTCACTTATATCTGGTATAGGGTCTTACCAAAGGCTTATCCAGTACTAGATAGTTACAATAATTTACTTTTTGTAAGTAAACTTTATTATTTCAGTACCTGAAATTAAAAAGCCAAATATTTAGGATAAGTTCTAACTCACATAAAATAATAATAAAATGATCTAATGTTCATAAAGTGCCAGAGAACCTGGCACAGAGGTATGCCCATATACTAGACATGGCCTGCACATAGCTGATACTCACAAATATCTGTTATAACTGAGGCATTCAACTCCCCATTCCCCCAAACCAAGCTCACACTCTCCACAGAGGTGATCACTAAAAGTTCCGGGTGTAACATCTTCTCTACATGTACAATCAAATATCTAATTGTATTACAAATGTAGCTGTATTTATAGAATCATGCTACAGTTTTGCAACTTGCTTTTATACTTAAGTTACCTTAATTTCTTTTTTCTTTTCTTTTCTTTTTTTTTAAAAAGATGACCGGTAAGGGGATCTTAACCCCTGACTTGGTGTTGTCAGCACCACGCTCACCCAGTGAGCAACCAGCCATCCCTATATGGGATCCGAACCCGTGGCCTTGGTGTTATCAGCACCGCACTCTCCCAAGTGAGCCACGGGCCGGCCCCGTAGTTACCTTAATTTCTGACAAGGCAGCTTGTTTCAGATTATCTCAAATAGAACTGGGTGCCAAAGAGACCAGCTGTAATTGAGAGGTCGATATTCCAGAAATTTCTACGAATCATTTGCCAGTGCACTCTTACAGCAATGCTCTTAATACTCTAGCCTTGTGGGTAACGTTTGCCCATCCGATGTGTGTTACAATGAACAGCACTGTTTCATAGTCCAGTGTTCATGAAGCACCACTAAGTAAAAATTGTGAGTTGGAGTGGGCAAAATTAGGAGCAGCAGTCCAGATACAGGTACTTAGTCTTGGATGTGCCCTTAGGTATATAATCTTGAGCAGACCAGTGACTTAGATCCTTCAATGGACTAAACTACCAAGGAACACAATCTACCCGACTCTCCACGAAGGCTCACTCTGAATGCACTTTGCTAGTCAAAAGGGGGCAAAAAAAATCAACATTACAAACACCGCCTGTTACAGGATTTAAAATAGGGAAAGAAAAAAAGAGGTGCTGTTTGTTTTTAAAAAAGGTATGTTAGAATAAAACAGGTTAAATGATCAAAGTAAGGTTGCTGAGAACTTCAGGAAGGGGGCAGGGAGTACAATAAGGGCATCAATAACTCTAGCTACCCTGATAAAAGGTCCTTTTATCCCTGATGCTTTGTCCTGCCTCTAGTGAACCAGTTTTCAACTAACAGAAGAGAGATGCTAACACAGGTTGCAGGTAAACAAACTGCTCCTTCCATTCTAAATATTCTAAGTACTGCTACTAAAATAATTACTTGGGAACTCCAATGGTAAATGAAACCTAAAATAATTACTTGGGAACTCCAATGGTAAATGAAACCTCTACGGTTATGTTTCTCAAGGCCTGAGAATCCTGGTTACTTAAGGCCGTGGTTTCTGGACTTCAAGAATTGTCTAGGATACTTAATAAGCATATTCTGGATGGCAACCATTATAACCCAGTACTGCTGTGTGATTTTGGTGATCCCATCTACATTTATAACTACTATGTAACTTTATGACTATACAGTTTTATGACCAATACAACTAACTTTATCATATTAAACAGGCATATTTAATACATAAATGTTAGGTTTTGTCATGTGTAGGCCACATGACACCATGATCAGCTGTGCAAATGAAGGTTCTACAGTAGTTTAGTAGAAAAAGACTACAGGGCAACAGTAGTAGAGGCATTCCAAACTCCCATCAGTACCATACTCATGTTGTGAGGAGCATGTTTCACATCTAGCCCTAGCTTTACCTTACTGCAGATTTGTATTTTACTGGATGTGTGATTTCAGTTGGTTTTATAAGTCGTAAGTCTATTGTTTTATAGTCAAATAAGAGTTTCATAAGTACTGTTAAGCTTATATATATTTAGATAACATAATAACTTGAGTCAAAAAAAGTTCTCTTATATTACTCAAGTTTGACAAAAACTTGCAAAATGTCTCATTAAAACCCTTGATTCCTGCTGGTTTTACAAGGAAAAACATTCACCAAATACTATGTGCAAGGATTGTGCTATCAGCTGTAATTCATGATGCCTGCACCTGTAATATTAGATTCTTTAGAAAATACTCACACGTAACCAGTGGATAACGATTCACCATGAACCCCCACCTTAGTATGTTAACACTGCTTCTGACACGGGTCTAACATAACTTTACTTGGTAGGGCCGGCCTGTGGCTCACTCGGGAGAGTGCGGTGCTGATAACACCAAGGCCCCGGGTTCGGATCCTATATAGGGATGGCCGGTTAGCTCACTGGCTGAGCGTGGTGCTGACAACACCAAGTCAAGGGTTAAGATCCCCTTACCGGTCATCTTAAAAAAACAAACAAACAAACAAAAAAACAACTTGGGAGGCAGTAGCCACAGCAATTCTCCATCAGACACAGTATTTGACTTCCTTCCGACACTGGAGCCTCAAATTAGGGCGGGAGTGGGGGGAGCAGTTTCATACACAGAAAACAGGGTGAGACGTCGTCCGTTACCTGCGTCTCTCAATCGAGCGAGTTCCTGCCGACGTTTCTTTCGTTTCTCCTTCTTCAGGGCGGCCCTGTACTTTTTGCGACTGGAAAATTGAGACATACGCACAGCAGCGTCAGCGCCGCAGCGGCCCTGCCCAAGCTCCCCTCTCCTTCGCGCCCAATGACAGGAATCGCTCCTGTGCTCGGGCAAGAAATCTTGCTTTCGGTGTTTAAACTGCAGCACATGCACCTACCATAGCCTCATCCTTCCACGCCCAGACGGCAGATGATCTGGATCCCGCCACCTTTTCCCCTCCTCACCTCCCTGAGCCTACGGACGCCTGTGGCAGCCCGGGGTGCGCCCCGTAAAGAGCTCGAGCTGCCGCGGTGGTTCACTCGGTGGTTTCACTCTGGAAATGACTCAGATCACATTTCCTTCCTGTCTCCACATCCTCCATGCCCAGGCTCGGCCCGCTCCTTCCCCTTTTCTCGCCTGCTCAGCTCCCCTAGCGGAGCTTACCTCAGTTTCACTGGGATAGCCGCCTCCTCAGCCGCCTCAGCCGCCGCCTCAGCCGCCTCAGCCGCCGCCTCAGCCGCCCCCATCTTGCTAGCGCCCCCGCCCCGCCCCACAAACTCCGACCGGAAGAGGCGGGCTTAGGCGAGGGGGCGGGCACGCGCAGCCGCAGGTGCAGCACGGCGCCCAGTTGGGCGAAACCAAAAACGGAGGCGGGAGGTTTCCTTCCGGGGCTCGTCTTCCAAAACCCTGGTCAAATATGCATCTCCTTCCTGAAAACCCTCTGGGGCTCCTACGCCGCGCTAGAAGTAATTCTTTCTCCTCAGCGCTTCCCCAGTGCTTTATCGCCATCTCCCCGCCCGCCGTAATGGAATGTCTTTTTTCCAACATCCCCTTTTCTCTTCATCCACTCACGAAGCCTCGTCTCACACAGAACCGCTCGTCTTGCTTCCCTTCCGTCTTCTCCAGGCTCCGCCCCCCTCCGCGGCTCCGCCTCTCAGCGCCTCAGACAAAGCTCCAGACTCCGCCCTCTTCCAGTCACACCTGCTGGCTCCTCAAGCATAAGCGACCCCGAACTCTTGGAGCTGCAATAAAGGTGTAGGACCAATACTTAGATAAGATAGTATGGTAAAGGCAAAGATGAAGTTTACTTAACATAGTCCACCTGGGGATTCAGGGAGCGCTTTCTAATGGGATCTGCTAACATAGACCACCTGGGGATTCGTGAAGAGCTTTGTAATGAGCTTCTTGATGCTTGAGTTGAGTTCTGAAGGAAGATGGTCTTTACCTACGTGGAGAAGTGTGGGAATGGGATTATAGGCAGATCAGCACAAGCAAAGGCAAGTGAGAGGTAGAACTGGAATATGTTAGGAACAGCAAGAAATTTGGCAGTGGAATTTAAAGTGCAGTTCAAGTGTAGCAAGGAATACAGTGGCAGAGGTGGGCGGAGGCTTGGTTATGGAGGAAGGCCTGGCACGCCATGCTAAGATGCTTTAATTACATTCTGTAGGCAATGGGGAACCGTTGAAAGCTTTTAAGCAGAGGCTTGCTGTGATCACATTTGTATTTTAGGTAAATTACTCTGGTTTGCAGGATAAACGACTAAAAGATAAAACTAGAATATCACAATAATCTAGGTGAGAAGTGATGAGGAATTAAACTGGGACAATGAGAGTAGGGACTGAGAAAGTAAATGTCAGCCCTGCTAATAAGCAGACTGTGATGTACACATACATGGCCATGGACAAGGCCAAGAAAAATGTTTCTTCCAAGGACACATTCCAGTTGCAAAATGACTGACAACTCCCATCTTTTGAGGGATTGAATAACTTCCCTGGCCTAGCTTTGTTCCTCTCTCTTCTAAATTAAAATTGCTGACATACCCAATTATTCAACTGCCCCTCCTTCCCTTAATCCTTCATTAGAATCATTCAGCAGAAGGCCAAACCCTGCATAAAGCCTCACCCCACTCCCTCTCAGAGACACTTGCATCAATACATGTCCCCCTTTGCCTCCAAGTTGACTTTGTCCAGGTCAGTGCATCAGTAATTAGAGACAGGTTTTTGAGTTGAATGGACTAGGAATCTCAAGCCTTGGCTTTCTGTGATCTTGAGTAAATTCCTTAATGTCTAGTTCTCAGTTTTCTCATCTGTAAAAATCAAGATGATAATATTTTCCATCTTATAAGGCTTTTATTGTGAAGACTGAATAAGATAACCTCAGCTATATGTTGGCACAGTGCCTGGCAATAGTGAGTGTCCCCAAAACTTTAGCTATTATGTAATCATCACCATCATCATCATCGATGTGAAAACTTCCTGGCCCCCTCAAGAGTGGGTTAGGTACTGTGTGTGCTCCCAGCACAAGTATTCCACATTTTATAATGCCTGTCACAGTAACTGCGCTTTGTTGCCTTCCCCTGTCTGCTGCTTGCACCAAATCTTAAACCCTTTGAAAGTGGAGATTTGGCAGTTGTATCCCCAAACTAGAGAATGCCCTGGGTAGCACAGAATGTTGTAGCTATGCAAGTCACAATTTTGCTGGTCCCTGTGACCAGGACTTAGGCTGAGAATTGCTGCCATTCTGAAAATGTCAGTTTTGGGTTGGTGTAACATTTCTTATGAATCAGACCAGACTTTCACTTCAGAACAATAAGTAAGAGTATCTAGGATGATGCTCCTAAGTATAAAAAGATACAGATGTAGATTTGGTTTTATTGTGATTTAGAAATGAATGTAAATCTCCTTTTATAGGAGTTAGACATTTATTTCCAACAATTAACAACTGAATTCATTTTCATGAACAAGCTTGAATTGCTCAAGTTAATTTCATTATGGAAGTAACTCTAAAAGCCAATTCCATTTCCAAACTATAATTATCATTATTTGAATTCAATGGGGAAGACATCTTCCTAAACTTTTTTTGGGTGGCTGCCTGGTTTTATAATAGCCAACTTTACCCTAACCCATGTATAGGACAGTTCTTCAGGTGTCCATCGACCAACCTAGTTCTCCCTCCTTTCTTGCTTGTAGTTCTCAAGAACAGCTGTAGAATGTGCTGGAATGCAGCATCCCGAGGACTGCATGAAATAGCCCAGGCCTTGTTCCTGTCCCTCCTAGGAAATGTAACAGCTTGAATTAAGGAGGAACTGCCCAGGACAGCCCAGGTGGTATCAAAGCTTTGCCCAGTGAGTCACATGCCCCCTGAGGTATATAACCCAGGCGAGGCTGCCTTTCGGGGGCCCTCAGCTGTGGTGCAAGTGGGGCACATGCAGTTGAGACTCCGCCGTGGGCAGCTTTCTCGAGCCTTGGGGGACCAGCTCACATTGGATCCTAGGCTTCTTTCGTCCATTGCTGCCTGTTTGTAAGTAAGAAATCTGCTTCATGTAACTTGTTGCATGTGAGTTCTGTTTCACTGGACTCAGACAAGTTGGTAGCCAGTGCACAGTAAACCTACTTCACACCTTGTAGCCCTAGGAAAGTAGAAAGGGGCTGGCAGCTTGCCCTTTATGGTGATGCAAGCAGATTGTGCACTGGATAGTGCAACAGAAAGAGGTGAGCTGAGGATCACCTGGTTTTTCCCACTACTTCTTCTCTAGTAAGTCTCTTCTGAGTTTTCCAGTCGCTTTCTGATCTACATGTTAAAGGATGTCTCGCTAATTCTTCAGACATCTTATATACCAAAACAACTGATACGAAGGAAGGGTCATTCAACAACCATTAATATTGTGAAGAAAGGGTTTTATTGATTTAGTATTTATTTAATAAAGATAAGCAGCAATTTTAATGCAAAACTTTTTTTCTCAAGACCTTTGATAGACCTCAGGTCCATTTTTGGCCTTCATGTCTAGGAAGGTGCAAATAAAAGCCTTTTGAGGGTATAAAAAACCAGAAGTTTCTTGTGAAGGTGTATTGGTAACCAAGGAATCTACAATGCCCCTTTGAGGGTCATATGACTAAGGCATGGAGGAACAAACCATCCCCTCAAGGAAGTTTCAATGACTTCTGCAGAGAAGATGACCATGAATTTATCATACAAACCAGGACATGGTTGAGAGTGAAGGAGGGTGCTGCTAATAATTTCACCAGGGCACCTAGCATTAGTAAATCAGGAGTGGCAAACGAGGACACACAGTTGTTACACTTCCCCCTATGTAATGGAGATGTAAAAAAGGATTACTCGGTTACTCAAAACACTATGTATGCATTGAGAGGCCCGGAAAGACTGCACTTCAGTAATTTCCCCATTAGGAGGAGAAAACTGAATGTGAGAGCCCCGATTCAAAGTTAACCTCCCCCTTTTATTGTAAAGACAAGGAAGTTTCACAAGAAAATTCAGTTGATTTAATCATTACAAAGTGTGGTGTATACTTACATTTATAAAGCAGATATATTTCACAGAGTCTAGTTCCCTGTAGTTTCAGGTTTAGCCTAACTTCTTAAAAGTACATATAAAATGTTAACCTTGCAAGAAACAGGAAACTTTCCCCAGGCTAGTCTCTGTTGTAAGATAAAGAATTGTAATACAGCAAAGTTGCTGGCTAAAGGACACACAAATTACTGATTGATATGATATCTTTAAGATACTGGGAAGCTGCTGTAGGGAGAGAGAATGTTTGCTAAGATCAAGCTTTTGTTGGTGGATTGACTTAACCTTTTGCAAATTGCATTATGTAATGTCACCTTGCTTGTTTCACTGATGTTATTGCTAAACTATACTTAAACTATTACCCCACCTATGTTCTTTTCCTGTAACTTCCTAGTCTGGAAAATAAATGCGGGGCAAGAACCCTAGTTCTTGGTTAACTTCCCAAAAAGAAGGAATGCTTCTCCCTTGAGGGTTCTGGGAGATTAACCCCTTTGGGGCTTCTCACTGCTCAGAAGACATAGACTTTGAGTAATCCTTTTGCGGCTCCATCACCCAGGGGAAGAGAGATGATAAATCCATGGGAGGCACGGCAACAACAAAGAACACAAGATATGGGCAGAATTATGGCTATGTATAGTTTTAACATATGGAAACTAGTAACATCAGTGAAATAAACAAAGTGACATTCCATAATGTAATTTGTAAAAGGTTAAGTCTATCCACCAATAAAAGCTTGTTCTTAGCAAACACTTTCTTTTCATACAGCAATTTCCTCAGTATATTTACATAACAATCAAGCAACTTTCTTAACATATCAATCAGTAGGTTAACCTGCACCAAGGACATCTGTCCCTTGAGCCACCAATTTTGCTGTGTTATAATTTTTTGTCTACAACAGAGACTTTAGCCTGGGGAAAGTTTCCTGTCTTTTGCAAGCTTAACATTGCTATATGTAATTTTAAAAAGTTAGGTTATACCTGAAACTACAGGGCTTTGGAAGCTAGGCCCTGTGAAATACATTTGTTTTACAAATGTTAATATCCTCCACACACAGTCACTCTAAAGATACATCCTTTGTATCTCTAAGATATAAGGGCAAGTCAGGCATTCTGTACATTACTTTTGTCCCAATTTGGAAAACTCACTGCAATAGAGTTTTGCACTAAGAGTTTGCAAGAGGGCTGGTAGGAAAGCCTGTGTGCCTGGAAAACACTTATCTTTT